CATTGCCTGCGAGGACGGTCGAATTGGGTGGACTCAGCACTTCATTACATCGGCGGCGCGCGTTTTCATAATTTTCACGCGCACTGTCTGACACATGCACGCATCCGCATTACACAAATACACACAACTATCACACTGCTCGCAGCAACTCGCAACAGCTCAACATTACGCGCGAGGGTTCAACGCACCGATTTGTTTGGTTTTTTTTTCTTTTATTGCCGTCGAGTGATCCTCGAGCCTCGAGGAACGGAGGCCGACTGCGTCCGACCAATCGACTCTTTCGAGCATCAGCAACTTCTGTCGAGTCGACAACTCGAGGTTTGTTCGCGTCGCAAGATCCAACATGCTCCAACATGCTCTACCATAGCTCCTACTCACTCTATCAAGCGCGTTGGAGTGAGTAGGAGCATATTGGAACGTGTTGGAGTATGCGACACGAACAAACCTTCGGTGTGCGATCTACTTCACGCTGTAAACGTTTTGAAGCATGCTCTGATTGGTCAATTTGTAAAATTCTTCCTTCTGATTGGTCAATGAAGCATTTACAGCATTAAGGCTGAAAACCTCTGCACAACGCATAACTCCAGATCTACAATAGGTGTTTTAAGTCGTAAGAAATTGACCAATTATAGTCGAATTCGAGGAGAATAATCGACTATGATTTGTCCATTTCTTATGGCTTAAAGCTTAAAACTCTATTGTAGATCCGGAGTTAAAAGCATAAGAAAATCAATCAATCAGAGTCTTTTATTTTATGGAAAGGAAGGACATTGATTGATTCATTTTATGAATAAATATTTTTCGCAATAAATTATTCGCAGATTCTCATTAATGTCAGATTTTGAACATTCTTATTTAAAACAAGTCAAAGTAAAAATCGATAGAATTATTTGTTTAAAAGTTATAATTTCTTTATAAGTGGGACATATATAATATGTCTTAGAGTCCTAGAAGTACGAAAGAGATCTCTGCCCAGTAAAAAATTTTTTATACATCAATATGTATAAATATGTATAAACATATCTAAACACGAATAAATATTCATAATAATTATTCATGAAATATATCCATCTTTCTTTCTTTTATAAAATTATTTTTTAGTGTATTAAAAATAATAATAATATTGAGAAAACATAAAAAATAATTAATGGGACAATTTTCGCATTGTTTGTTTTAGAAAAAATAAAGTTTGGAAAAATGCAAACAAATTTGCTCATACATAACTATGTATAATTTTATATGCAATTATATATGTGTGAGCAATTCTTTTACATTTTTCCTTGATTTGAACTTGATTTTTTCTAAAACAAACGATGCGAAAATTTTCCTTTTAATTATTTTTTATGTTTTCTCATTATTATTAGTATTTTTAGTACACTAAAAAGTAATTTTACAAATGAAAGAAGGATGTATGAACATGTACGGACATATCTCATACATAATTACATATGTTTATGAATATTTATGTATGATTGTACATATTTATATATATTCATGCATGAAAAATTTTTTACCGGGTGTCCTCATGAGCATTTTGAAAAAACCACTTGATCAGTCACGTGTGACGCAATTGGAGAATAAGAATTGCAAACTAAAGATTAGAATTTGACCAGTAAGATAATTTTAATTTTAATCCGTTCCATTCTGACTGTATGAATTACAATCTTTAATTTACAATCCTCAATCTCCAATACGCGAAGTGTGACACAAGTCTAGCTTAAAGATGTTCAAAAGACACAAGTTCCTTTTAATAAAGGTTGTTTCTTTTGATGAAATCTACCATTTCCTAAAGTTTGTTCCTAAAGGTCTTAACACTTCTGATATAATAAACTTAGAAATTAGAAAAAATAAGGTCTCCTTACAATCAAAATAGTAAAATAAAGGGCATAAAAAAAGAATCGAGCGTGGGAATTGATACGTAAAGATAATTAATAATTTAAATAGTACATTTAATACATTTAATTAAATAGTATATTTTTTAATACATTTAATTAAACTATACATTTGCTTTATACATGTTGCGGCTCATTTTTATGCCTCCTTCAGAGCATAGAAGAAATATACCGAGTTATAGATATAAATTTGTCATTCTTTGGCCGTTGAGTCACTTCTAGAAGATTATAAATACATCACTCACAGACAGTTGGAAGATCAAGTCTGAATATACTAATAATTAATTATATACTAATAATAAATAAATAATGAACAATAAATAAATCAGTCAATAAATGCAAACTATATCTTATAAAAGTTTAAATGAAAGTAACTAATCATCGATATCGTAAACGGAATTGTAGAAAAAATTATAAATATACAAAGAACACAGTCAAAATATTATAAGAGTAACATCAATAACGAATCAATAAAAAATATTATAAAAAAATAAGATTCACAGTGTCAGATTAGGATTAAAATAAATTTTAAGTTATCGTAGTAAAAAAGTAAAAATAAAGATGTATATGTATAACAAAACACAAGAAAAACACTAACTGACTAGATAATATGAAACTGCAGAGTCATAATTTGTCAGAGTTATAGTTTTGTAAACTTAGAAACTATAATATCACTTAGGAGGATTGATAATAGCTCCCTTGAATGTATATTAGTAATGCCATAGAGCCTGAGCTTTATCAGTTGAAGAGATAAAGTATTCTTTAAGAGTATTTCTCATTTCCTTCGCTATAGAATCTGCATCCGTTATAGAATGGTTAGCATCCATTCGGCCCAGTTCAATAAAATGTGGGGAAAAGTGCTGCCTCCATTGCCCTTCTCTAATGCCACCATCTTGTTCCTCGATATCAATTAAATCCGTTGTACAATACTGACGATTATTTACAGACTCATGTTCTTCCCCAAGCATAATAAAATTGTGTAGGCAAACGAGGGCTTTCAACACATTTTCGCAGTTGGTTATTGACATGTAAAGAGGTTTGTGTAAGATACGCCATCGCGCCGTCAAAATTCCAAAAGCATTCTCTATTGTGCGTCGTACACGTGATAAGCGATAATTAAAGATTCTCATATCATCACTCAGCTTTTCGCGAGGATAGGGCCGCATCATATGCGTCGATAGAGGGAAAGCCTCGTCACCGATAAAAACAAAAGGAAAAGGAGTATTTGTCCCTGGAAGTAAAGTAGGATCTGGCAAGAGTAAATCGCCTGCAGCCAGAGAACTTGCAAGTTTAGTATTTGCCCATACTCCATCATCACTTATAGAACCTGGAAATGGATATCGTGACAATTAAAGATAATAAAATTAAAGGATGAATAAATATACTCACCACGTTGCTCAATATTGACCCATGTAAACTTATATGTTGCATCGCAAACGGCAAGTAATATCATATTGAAAAATTGGCTGCAACAGAAAAAGTGAATAAATGACTGCTCAGTGATTTTTTAATATTATTGATTCCTGCGCTTAGATCCACTGAAGAATTAAAGGCAAGAACCAATCATTAAAAAATCACTAAACACTCACGGTTTTTCTGCTGAACGCAGCCATTGTTTGTAATTGTAGAATGCTGATCCAGAATTGGGTGGAGCTTGAATTGTCATATAACGTCCATCTAATGCTCCTAGACAGTTTGGAAACTGCCATTTTTTCATGAAATCTTCGCTGATGGATATCCAATCCTCTTTACTAGGAGGCTTTAAAACAATTGGCTGTAAAGTTGTCCAAATCGCCCAACAAGTCTCATTCACTATTTTATGAACAGTTGACTTGCCTATCCCAAATTCTGCGTGTTTTAACTTAGCGTTATCACCCTGGGATAAGTATCTGCAACAATCACGATAATATTACTTCAAAGAAAATGGTGAAATAAAATTAAAGTACATTAATTTTATTTACAACAAAGTGACAGCTAGGCGTAGCTCTGTAGGAAGAGAAGGTTTTAAGATGTTCTTCTTAAAGTGAGGATGAAGCAAATTTACTAGCAAATCGAACTGCTCAGGCCACATTTTGTACGCTCCAAAGAACTTTTCATGGTCACTCTGAAGTAATTCTTGAATAAAGTTATGACAAAAGCATAAGCTTGAGCACTTTGTAGTCTGTTTACAGACCGATCCTATCAGCGTCGTTGTTTTATCATCTTCCTTCTTATTATAGTCCACCATTGTAAATTTATAATAGCAATAAATTATATTGAGATAAATAACATAAAAAAAATGTAAAATTTTTTGAAAATTCATAATTATTGACGAAACGAACTATTGAGAAATAAACTGCATCACTTCAGACGGTCTATTTTTTCAATGGCTGACTTTATATCGCTGCTTACGATGCTGATATTGCTGACGATACCTCATTATGCATCATTATGAACAGACATGAATTTCGCGTTCAGCAGAGAAAACGGAGAAAACTGATCAATTGCATCCATGATGGAATCAGACAGAAACCTGAGAGAGGACGTGAGGGCCTTTTTCCTGTAACCGCTAAATGCCGCCGCATTACTGCCCTCTGAAGAAGTGGATGTAAGTTATACAATAATATCCATTTTTTTGTGATGCTCCTGATGGAAATAAATCGCTGAAATCGCTAAAATAACTAAAATCTATCAAATTAATATTGGCTGCGTTCAGCAGACTCAACAGTTTTGCAACCGTTTTATGATTGTCTGCTGAGATAGGACCATTCTTCTAGATCTAAAAGTATGATCCAATCAGCTCGAAAGAAACTTCCAACAGTTTTGCAACTGTTTTATGATTGTCTGCTGAGATAGGACCATTCTTCTAGATCTAAAAGTATGATCCAATTAGCGCGAAGGAAACTTCCAACAGTTGCAAAACAACCGTTCTGCTGAACGCAGCCATTCTTTAATTAGTCAATTCGTAAAATTCTTTGTTCTGATTGGTCGCTCAGACGCTTCGAAGCGTTTGTAGCGTCAAGTGAACCGCAGCCCCCAATCAGATGAAACCTATTACGGCGCTGGTGTTGCACCAGTTTTCCCAATGGAAAATGTTATTGAATAAGCGTGGTAGCACTGGTAGCTTTATAGGTTAAATTACACGTGTACGACGATCCAAGAAGATAGAAATAAGTTAAAAAGCTTGATATTGTAAGATAAAATCACATTTGCATTATATAAATTCTCCATATAGTTATCTGTAATCTAATATGGGAAAGTTGGACGTTAAAATATTACGATATTTAACCCCGGAAGACTTTCGTGTTCTGACAGCGGTATGAATTTTGTGATTTGTATTCGTTGATATATTCGTACAAAAATATATCACAAAATAAATTTATACAAGATCTGTGTATCTATAAATCTGCATATGCCTTCTTTTTTCTAATTTTAATAATTTTAATTTTTCATATTTTAGATTGAAATGGGTATGAAAAATCATGAACTCGTACCTGCATTACTTGCCACACAAATAGCGAATCTGCGTTATGGTGGAGTTCACAAATTACTAAAAGAAATGTGCAAGCATAAATTGCTCAGTTATGAACGAGGCAAACGGTGTAAGACACATTGAAATTTACATATGATCATAGATTCTATTAAGAATATATTCACAACCTGTTATAATAAATTTTTAGATGATGGTTATCGTTTGACAAATGCTGGTTACGATTATTTAGCCTTAAAAGTTTTAACGCATAGAGGAACAATCCATTCCTTTGGTAATCAGATTGGTGTTGGCAAGGAATCTAACATTTACATTGTTGCCAATGAAGAAGAGACTCCGCTTTGTCTAAAGTTACACAGATTGGGTAGAACATGCTTTCGAAACATTAAAGGAAAGAGAGATTATCATCAGCATAGACATTCTGTATCTTGGTTATACTTGTCAAGAATCTCTGCAACTAGAGAGTTTGCATATATGAAAGCACTTCTGGATAGAGGTTTTCCTGTGCCAAAACCAATTGACTTTAACAGGCACTGCGTTGTTATGGAGCTGGTTGAAGGTGGACCTCTGTATGTTTATTAATAATATTTCTAGTATTAATTGAATCCTGTTTAATTATGTATAATGAATTCTTATATATAGAAACTGTGTTTCGTAGGTTATGTCTATGTCCAAATCCATTATTAAAATGCCATTTAGGAATATTACAATTTGCTTCATCAAGGCGAGGAGCAATCTAATATTGCAGTATCGAGTTATTCTTCAATAAAATGTTGGCATTAATTTTAATAATAGATATGGAGAGAACTCATAAAATGCATAGCTTTTATATAGAAAATATCCATGGAAGCCTAAAAAACCTTATTTATATTATCCTATTTAGGTGTAATATAAATGAAGTAGACAATGTTGAAACATTGTACGATGAGCTCATGGATTTGATTGTTAGATTGGCGAATCATGGTGTTATACATGGAGATTTCAATGAATTTAACATAATGATCAAAGATGATGGCAAGCCTGTTATCATTGATTTTCCTCAAATGGTTTCTACAGAACACGAGAACGCAGAAGCATATTTTGAAAGAGATGTGAACTGTATCCGTGATTTCTTTAAGAGACGTTTTGGATATGAGAGCGAATTATATCCAACTTTTCAAGATATATCGTAAGTAATTGGAAAGTATATTATATCTTAATTATATTTTTTATTGATCTAGTAAATTAATGTTTTATTTATGTTAGACGTGAGGACAGCATAGATACTGAAGTCAAAGCCAGTGGCTTTACAAGGCAAATAGAAAAAGAAATTGATGCTTTTTTAACAGAAAATGGCATTGATTATAAAGAAGAAAAAGACAATATAGACAATGAAGACAGTGAGGACAGTGAGGAAGAAAAATATGAGAATTGTGTTGATAATATTGAGGATTTGAAATATCAATTAAAAGGTTTACAACTTCAAAACGAAATTGTTGTAAAAGAAGGATTTGATGCTTCAACAAGAGATTTAACTTTAAATAATGATGATGAACATTTGAAGAAAATATCTATGGTGCCATGTCCCGACAAGCGAAGTAATACGGAAAATGAATGTGAACAAAATAACGAAGATGTAACAGTAGAAAATGTAAAGGCCAATGAAAAACATGATAATTTTACATCGTATGATTTATCATCAAATACGGAAAACGAAGCAGTACGTTTTTATGATACACGAAGTATTTTAACAGTTGCTACAATTGCACCAGATTTGATAAAAAAGAGAACAAAGTTAGCACTTGACAAACGCGAGAGAAGCCAAGCAAAGAGAACACTTGCTAAAGGAGAAGCAAGCGCAGTAACGAGGATACGAAGAGATAATAGGGCTACAATTAAAGAATCAACGGGAATTTGGGGTTGGGAATAAAGTACAAGTTATTGTAAGTCATTTATTACATATATAATTAACAAAATATTTTTGTAAATAGTTTTATCACAATACATACATATATGCATGTGGTCATTTTTCTACATTATGCATTATTTTTATTTTATTTTATTTTATATGTAATATAATGCAAACATTTTCAAATAATCTTGTTTATTATTCTGATCCTTTCAAACTTTAATATATAAAGATAAATAGATATATATTTGTGAGAGATAAAAGCGTTTTTAAAATTGAATATTTGTCATCTTAGGAAAAAAGTACATTAAAAATAGATTAGAGAAAAATGTAATACTGTGTTCCTCCAAAGAACAATAATCGACAAAAGAGAAAAATATAGAAAGTAGTTTTATTTCGAGAACTAATCGTATACTTCAGTGCTTTAATTGAGCAATTTTGCAGTATTAATAATAACTACGATGTAATTGCAAATAAGTACTATTAAAATATGTATAAGTAAATCAATATAAAAGAATATCTTATGTACATATGCCAATTCAATTATATTTGAGATCAAATGTATGTAAAATCTATCTATTATTAATGAACAATTTTACCTTGAGCACTATTGTCAATATAATTGAATACTAATGCAGAACTTTTTGTAGTTTGAAACGTCCTGATAGTTTAATTTAAACATAGAAATTCCAGAGGTTCAGATGTTTCCCAATTTTTGATAGATAGATTCGTTATTACAACTTGACCCAAATCTAAAATTCTTAAATTCTAGCTGATATTCGTAATCGATTCTTATTTTGAAACCGTCTTCAGACTATCTTCAGACTATATTTAAGATGATCCTAAATACAAGATCCGATTATGAATATAGCCTTAAGTAAACGTTTACATAACATCAGATTTCTTTAGAATTTAACTTGCTATTTCTATTGTAGTTCTTTCTAATCAAAAAGTATAATGAAATCCCCTCTCTTAAAACATCGAATCAATTGGGAGAATTTGGAAAAATATCTTTCCTAAATATAGGTATGTGATAAAGATTTCCGATCTTAGGAGAAAATTTGTCGGTCTTAAGAAGCGACAGTTCAATCTTGAGTGCAAAAGGAGCATTTCTCTGTAGAGGTACACTTGGTACATCATCAAGAGAGGGTATTTTGTTTAATCTATTTGTTTTGTCTCCTCTGTTGCGTATTATACATTTCGTTGTCGTAACGCAACACGCGAGCTACGGACATAAGGCCGATTAATAATAAGAAGGAAAAGTGGGACTGCATATACGGTACAAATCGATTTGTTCCGAACAACGTATTCCTGGGACGGCATTATACAACGGTTGATGGTGCAGTTGTGAAATATATTGAACAAATTGGACTGTTCAATAAGTTCGCGCCGCGAGGAATGCTGTTGATAGTGATGGTGGAGTAAACGGCCTAGCAGGCGATAATAAGGTCACATTGGTAGCTCCAAGTACATACGTATAACTGCAGCGCGTATATATATAGCAGCAAGTTCTCTCTTGAACGCCGAGTCCCTCGTGCGTTGTGCTTATCAAAATATCCGGAATCGACACAAGCAAATCGCGGCTGAAGACTGACTAAACTAGTTTCGAATTTCCGTTGAAAAATCATGGCTAAGGACAATCTCTCTGCTATACTGTATGGTATCAACGATTTGCGCCTGGTTAGTACACGTTGCAGAAGCATATTGAACTTGCACAACTGCGCTTGCTCATATTCGAATCGAATACACCACTCTTATTATTTCGATTAAGTTTTATTAGTCTAATCCGTACTTAATAGACAAAAATGAAAAGATCAAGCAAGACTCAAAATATAATTAAAAATAAATTAAATTATATTTTACCAACTGCTGTAAAGAAAATGAAAAATTTATAATTATGTTTAATATAATCAGTTAGCGCATTTACGTACTATAATTTTTTAAATTTTGCAGATTATAGTAATTTTATTATGATTTTTATTTAGTTATCAAATTAAGGCTCGACTGTCTCGAAGTATTGGTTATATGACGTCAGAAGCAAGAAACGATATGCAGTGAATTGTTACATTACATTGATACATATTTATTTTTGAAACCCGTGCAAACAGAATAATTTCGTAATCCTGAAACCTGTAAAATATACAGTAAACTGAAACATAGGTTCGATATGTTAAGTAAAGTGTAAAATAATTCCTGAAATAATGATACCAAAAGCTATTAATAAAAAATCGTCCAGATGTCAGTTTGTCAAATATTTTACAGATTTCAGAATTACGAAATTATTACGTTTTTAAGGGAAAATTAAAAAATAAAGCTATACTTGATCTTGCTAGATGTATTTGCCCTTTGAAACACTACATTATAAATCAGTTTTCAATTTATGTTCTTTTTGGATGCAATTAACAAAGAATCGCATCTTTTCTTAGGTGCAAAACATCGAATTTTAAAAATTAGGAACAGACTAATGTGCTATTCTTGTAATTTCTTTTTAATTTTGTTTTATGCAAGCAAAAAAGTATGTGAAAAATTATATTTTTCTAAAACAAAATTTCGTATTTCGAAAATAACGAACTAGTAAGTTTATAAAAATAAATTTTTATCAATTCTTTTCAATTCACCAATTTCTTATAAAGTAAAGATATATGAATAAAAAAAGTAATTTGTTTTTCTTGAGAAAACAAAAACTACAAACAATTTTTTTTCTTATTTAGGCTACGGTCCACTTGATGCTACAAACGCTTCAAAGCGTTTAAGCGATCAATCAGTACAAAGAATTTTACGAATTGATTAATCAAAGAATGCTTCGAAGCATTTGTAGCGTCAAGTGAACCGCAGCCTTAATACGATATGGTGAATACAAGATTATAAACAACATTTTTATTAGATTTCGCATAATTCAAATTTTTTAATATATACAGATTATTATTTTTATAATCACATGTTGATCCTAATTTTTATCTCGTAAAAGATAAGTGCAAAATTGAAACAGCAGATTATTCAATACCGATTTTTAGAGTGTCACAAGTTTGTAAATTGTTTTTTTATTATTATTGTCTGCACAGCTTTTTACAATGTCGCTCAAATATATTTTTTGTGATTAGATTTAGATATGGATAATTTTTGCTGTTTTAGGAAAACACGAGAATCGAGGAACCAGAAGACAATGGTAAGAGATGCCTTTTTATCAATATTTACTATTTTTTAATTAGCTTTGATAAAAATATATCGCAGAAAAATTTCAATAATGTGTATTATTGATAAGAAATGTATTACTGAGAAATATAATTAATATTAATCAGTATTTTTTACAGATAACATTATTTTTTATTAGAAAGAAAAGAGAGTAAAAACTTAGTTTATATTGAAAACGTAAAAGAAGGATTCTTTATTCAATTGCCTAACACACTTTGTTGTAAATCAATTTACATCGAGATCTATTAATACATGCGATGACGCTCGTCGAAATATTATACGCAATGCTGTTCGAGATACATACTGATAAATTAAGCAGATTAATTTCAATTTAAAGCTGTTGAACGCTTCGCGCGTATATTTTGATCATAATTAGTTAGAAAGACGCTTTACAATAATCTTAAATTTTCGATATTCTTTTAATGAATAAAAACAATCGCACTAAAATTATGAAGCGGGATAAAGAAAGTCAGACATTGAAAGTCTGTTTTGTGATTAATTAAATTCATCATAATACTGACAATTTGGATGAAAAAGAATTTAAAAGCTAGATGTGCCTTTTTATAATTTAGTAAGTTGGGATTATATTATAATAAAGATATTGTAATTTTTTATAGAGGTGCTTCTCGAAATGGGATGCGTAGGAATCTGTGGGTCGGACGTTCATTATCTTGTCAATGGCAGAATCGGCGATTTTATAGTTAAGAAACCTATGATCCTTGGTCATGAGTCCTCTGGAATTGTCGCCAAACTTGGAAAAAATGTCAAGAATTTAAAGGTATCATACATACGTATACATAGGTATTTACTTTATCCATGAATATATTCCAGGAGGAATTTGAGAATTCAATCTCGCTTCGAAATTTTTTATTAATTTTTTCATTTTTATTAATTACAAAAAATACAGTTTTTCTCTCGATTCTGAATAAATTTTTTATTGTGATACAAAATATCTTTTGCTTCTGTTGTGGCCATGTAAATAATTTCTGGGACTTCCGTTAGTTAGAGCTTTGCTAGAGTGTTCGATACAGAAGAAAAGATTTCGCAAAGTTTTTGAGCCGAAAAACAGAATAGTGTCGAGATTAATAACTCCATTCACAATTACACATTTTGTTTATAATAACTATATTCCCAGATAGCAACGTCTGTCTTGTTGCTGGGATGTTGCTTGCTAAGTATGCATTGCTAAGCATATGTTGCTAGAATTGCAGCAACTGAGTCCTCATTTGTTGGCAATTTGATGCCTTCACGATATGATAATTTTGAGTAACAATTTGCCAGCAGTTTGCTGACAACTTTAAAATCGTTATCATCAAAATTCGTACTACTGCCATTATGTTGCCATAATAATATGCATCATCATACAATGCTGTCATATTGTCGACAACACAAGATATAATATTGATGCACTTATCTTGCTGTTAAACTGCTGGCAATATATATACACATTGTTGTTTGCACGTTGCTACAATATCAGTATATTCGAAATCGTTGAAGACAAATCTATGGCAAGTTGCCAGCATCATAAGCAATCACAGATTTGTACGATTTTGCTGAGACACGCTTTGCTATCTGGGTTTTACCTACACTTTCTTTAGGGGAAAAAATTGTGATTTACAAAACCTAATATTTTTTCTATTCATAATCAGGAACCAGAAGAAAACTAAGCCCTAAAATATCCAAAAACGCAATTTTAATCGGTATTTAAAAGAACAATTAAAAAAATTGCTGTTTATATAATAATAGAATTGATAAAACCCTTCTCTCCCCCAAAAAAAATTTTGAATGTACTCATGACTTTATCGTTACTTTTTTTTTAACTAATGTTAATATTGAATGTTAATATTGAAGAATGATTATTTTTGTATAAAATATATGTTCTTGGTATTTTCTTGTTTTGTATTTTTTATAGGTCGGTGATCGTGTTGCTATTGAACCTGGAGTGCCTTGCAGGGTATGTACGCATTGCAAAGAGGGCCGTTATAATCTGTGCAAAGATGTTGTGTTTTGCGCAACTCCGCCTGTGCACGGTAGCTTAAGACGTTTCTACAAACATGCAGCTGATTTCTGCTTCAAGTAAACATACTTGATTACATATTTACACATAATTACATTAAAACCAATAATGTGCAAACAATGATGTAGATGCAAGATAGCTACTCAGTAATAAACACTAACAGTAACATCACATTAATATTATACTTTCTTCAAAGTAATAGTATATATTATACGTAATATTGTTAAAAATTACATTGTTGAACGGGAAATTATAACATTGATGTTATATGGTATTACTGTTAGTTGGTGTTTACTGGGTACAAAGTTTTTTTTTAACACAATATGAAATAAATTGATAAAATGTGTCGTTGTAGATGGAAAGAAAATTAATTTCTGTATTTGTGATTTTTTGTAATAGATTGCCTGATCATGTAAGCTTAGAGGAAGGAGCGCTTTTAGAGCCATTATCGGTGGGAGTACACGCTTGTAAACGGGGCGAAGTCGGAATCAGTTCTAAAGTATTAATTCTGGGAGCTGGTCCGATCGGTTTGGTGACCTTGCTGGTAGCAAAAGCCATGGGTGCGACGAAAATAGTTATCGCGGGTATGTGATAAAGGATAAAACTTGAGGCAAAAGAAACAAATACTTTAATCTACGTTTTGACGATTTTCTTTATCTTCACTCAACATTTCATTCAAGTAATCATTATAAAGAACTATATACAAAAAGTGTGAGATAATATTATCTCGTAGGGAAGTATAGTAAGGTTGAAATATATATACAGGGTGTTTCCAAATTAAATCGCAAAACTTCGGGAGCGTGTAGAGGAGTAAAAAACTAAGAAAAAAAGTCCTATAGACATATGCTCGTTTTTGCTCCGTTTCAGAGAAATCGAAAAAAAATGTTTACATTTCTTGCCATATCTAGCACCGACATATTTGATTACATTTTCCACTTTCTGTTATGAATTTGTCAGTCGCTCTTTGAAAGCCTTTAATAGTAGATGAATTTTGTCTTTTGCAATATGCCGCGTACG